CAGCACTGAGACCTCACCAAGTCGGCATCATGGATCACCCATACATCTAAACGGCGACTAACTCGAAAAACTTGTGACGACCATCACATATCCATCGGGCAAAACACTAATCAGAGGCCTGTCTTTGCACCGGCGTTCAGTACCAGTGCCTGTACTCGAAACCACCGCGATGTCCGTGTTCGCCGACTACGAACGAAGTCAATGACTGCAAGCTCTTGCGCTAGACGAGCGACTAGAGCCTAGGTGCTTTGGATCCTGCAGCCGCTTCAACGTCTACAGGCGGCTTCTCAAGACTTAACGTCGTCAGGTTGTTTGATTCAACATCAATCCCTTCACAGCATTTCGCAGCACCTGGGCCAACAAACCAGGTCTATAATTCCGCTACGTGTTGAAGTCCCATGGCCTGCAGGTCCTACCCGTCGCCGTATCACCTTGTCTCACCGCTGAAGCGCTACAGCGTATCGTCTGTGTCAGTCCAGCTGAGGAGGGGGGGAGCACTGGAGTGAGTGTAGGGCACCACCACCAGCATTCATCGTCATTAAGAGGCTCCAGCGTACTTGGCGGTCTTGGCAGTTTGATATTGTCTGTGCTACCTACAATACCGAACACGGCAGCCAGTCATGTTCCCGCGTACTCGCGTAACCCACAAACAACAAGTCGACAGTACCGACAAGGGGGCGAGCTCGGCGGAAGTGTTTGCAGCAGTTTCTGTCTCTCTCAACCACTCCAGTGTCGTGCTTCGCGTGCGCGTGCGTTACGTTAGGCCCCGCTGATGTGAGCCAAGGTACCAACGTCCACTCCTACAACAAGTTCGAGAAAACACAATTGGCAAGCAAGAGAAATCACTTGGATTTCTGGAGCCCTGGCGACAATCGAGATTGTGAGCCTGCAAAATCAAAATTTGATGGAACGACGGTGGCCCGGCCCTCGGCGGACTTTTCCCACTCCTCCCGCCCCATTTCCACCTCGGAATCTTTCAGCGGGACTCGTTGACGACGCTCCCCGAAATGAGCTCCCAAGGAATTCTTCCGTATTTTCCAATGGGGTCACTCGGACCCGCCAACAAGAATAATGGAGCTTAACCCAACTCCGGCGTCTGGGCAAGCCCTGTCTCACTCTTGGGTCAACAAAAGTGGGAGGATAAGTTGATGAACTGAGAGAGAGGGACAGGCACAATCGCCAGCGCGCACAACCTCCGAGCGATCCGGGTGCCAAGACCCGCCAGCACTCCGTGATACCGCAGCCGTTATACTGCTTTGATTGGCTCCGTTGATTTTAGAGATTCATGGAAGTCACTCATGACCTGGAGGAGTCGGTGAGATTCGAAAATAAGCTTACAGCTTCACGAGTCACCATCTCGGTCTAGCAGCGAATCCCCGCCTCTCTTTCTTCTTTGTATCACCACATGCGCCGCAGCCTGTATTCGCTGTTAGCACTTGTCTGCTGCTGTCTCACATCATCCATGCGTCTCGCACGTGCCTTCGGTGCTCAAGGAGCCAACAACGCGAGTTTGTGATATTGAATTTTGACCTGCTCATCCAGATTACTGACCTACTGCCGTGCTCACTGACACCCAACGTTCCGCTATGTCGAAGATAGCATTAATGCCAGAACTGCGATGTGGCCCTTGTGGCCGGGACACAGACGGGGATTGCTCCTCCAGGCGAGTCTGATTGGCTTCTATGCGCATGAAACTGTGACAACCCCTTCCAACTATTGGGTTCAGTGGTGTGGATGGTCAGACTGGCATGAGCCTGCTTCTGGAGGAGCCCCCGTCTACAAGGCAGAGAACGGTGGTTCTCCTTGGAATGGGATCGCCCTGGTTGTCGGAGGCGGTTCGACCGCTCAAACACGGGCAATTGGGATTCGTCCCAAGTTCTGCGGACACCTTATTTCCGATCACCCCGTTTACTGGGCTCTAGGTGATCGTCTCCTTGAGCCTCCCGGCGTTCGGCGTTAATCGGAGGGCGGGATTCCCCTGAGAACGGCCGCGCCGGGCGGAAGCCAAGCCGGATTCGCCAGTCACTTCCCTACCTGATCCGCAGTCTCTTGCACGTTTATCAGCTATCTAGTCTATTAGTTACAGTCATACTCTTCTAGGTACACTAGATAGATACTTGCTGTGATTGAAGCTTTCTGTCGAGTCGAAACAAAGTTTCCAGATGGCAGAGAACGGGAGTCTCGTGGGTCTTGGCACCAAGGAGCCAACATGGAATTACCATGTTAATGGCCAACAGCAGTGGCTGCACATGGGATAAGAGTGTTTCGAGTGTCTACTCCCCGAACGGGAGCAACCGAGTCGGCACCATGACCAGACTTCAGAGCGGTGCTCGACGTTGGCTGAACCTCTGCCAGTCACTGGCTGGTGCGGTGGAAGGTAAAATCGCCCATGAGAAACACCATTAGGGAGTCGTGCCGAGAAGTGGACGCAATGCATGATTTCTCTCATTGGTGTCGTCTGTGCTGTCAAAGTCAGGCCGTACTCTCTCTCTCTCGTCATGGTAACGACGGGAGGTCTCTTTCTGGAGTTCCTCTACCTGCTTTCACGATTTGGGGAATAGGCTTTGGGTGTTGTGTCTGGAGTTCAGACCGCAGTTTTGTCTTCCTTCTTTTTTTAAACTTGCCTTTCTGCCACTCCGGAAGTCTGAAATTGGCCTTTGAGGGTCCAAAGACAGCGGCGAGGGGGAGGTGAGAGTGAGTATCAGCTAGACTAACATTAGCGAATTGAGGGGAGCCATGTGTTTCTCCTCATACCGCGAATCTGTCAACCTACAACTTGAGGAGGCGAGGCTGGGAGGCACGGGCATCACCAAGGCGGTCACCCAATACCATAGCACGCCAGCCAGCAGGTTGTTTCCCAATCACGTTCCTACCCATGCGCAGCATATCCAAGGCGCATTCAGAGAACAGACCAAAGCCCAAGGCAGTCTTTACTTTTTACTTGTCTTGGCTATTCTTGGCGCCAATGCTGGAAAGGTTGAGATGATTTATACTACAGCGTCGGCTGACATGAGAACTGTGTTTTGCATGACTGGCCGGCGGGGGGAGGGGCAAACCGTTTTTTACCGCTTTTGGGGATGCTGGGGAAGATCCGGGGAGAGGATCTGGCAGACGGGACGGTTCAGCTGGCTTAGGAACGGGTTGCCGCGAGTGGAACGAGGCGATGAAGCTCTGGTCGCTGCGGTCACATAGCTGTCTAGCTGCGGTAAGGTAAGGTAAGGTAAGATACCTAGTGTGGGGGAGGCGAGGAAAGCATGAGAAGTATAGACTGTGCTTATGCTGTTTACTGTTTCTGGGTTTCTTGTCGGAGATGGGAAAGGTGAGGAAGCTCCATTCTCGCACAGAGATTTTTGTCGATGCTTGTGAGGCTGAAAGTCTGCTATGGCCCTTTTTTGTTTTGCCTCGGGGACCGTTTCCGAGGTTATTCCTAGGGGGAGTAGAGAGAGAGAGAGAGAGAGAGATAGAGAGGGCGGGATGGGTCTAGGTTGGGTTTCTCTCATTCTCGCGGACGATGCTGGACACGGATATCAGGTCGGAGGTTTGAATTGGGTTTGTGACGTGAGGCGGTGATGAGATTTCTCATAGGAGCTACTCCAGGTGCGAGACTCCATCTTACAGTAGAGCTTGGACCGGAGCAGGTTCAGGCAACTGGCCAACTGCTTTCAGTGACCCCTGATATTTGAAATTCAGGAGGAGATAACACTGAAGTTGTTCTTCTTCTTGGTATTACTTTGCATTACTCAACTATCCGCAGCTGAGCAGTTGGCAGCAGATTCCACGTTCAATTCACCGGTGATGGATTCTTGTATAAGCCAAAGCAGCCAGCTACCTATCTCGAAGAAAGCAGCCGGAAAAGGGGGGGAGATAAATACACTCGCCAAAGCAGTGACCACCAACCTTTTTCTCTGACAGGAAAGCCGTTCCTAGCTGAGATGAACAAATTCATGCCGGTTTGCCGTTAGTGTTAGAAGATTCTCATCTCATAATCTTTTTGCCTCTCTCTTCTCCCAGAACACAGCTCGCAGCGCGGCCTTCTTCGGTCCACCTGCCGAGGAAGTTGAACACTAGTTTGGGTACAAGGACAGCGAAACGGTTCAAGCTCACTCACCCCACCCCTCCCGTTTCCGAGAATAGAGTCGGCGGCACTTTGAGAGACTTTTTGACGTGCATGAACTGTTTGCCGAGTATACTGCTTCAGATATGGAGGAAAAGGGGCTGACAAGGTCAGAGAGTGGGGGGAAAAAAAGTCTCTTTTGTTCGCTTCTGTGAGACAGAGGCGGACTGAAGTTGATTCGTTTTGTTTTCTAGATTTCGAGGCGGAGGTGGTGTGTATGGGCGAGTTTGATGCTTTGAGGGAGAGAGATTGTAAGTATCAGGCAGACGTAGAGAGAAGGGCGGGGGAACCGAGGGCAGGGTCATGTCGCTCCTAAGCTATGCCTCGTCTCCTGCAGACTGGCGGGCGCGAACGGGATGGCATCCGCGTGACCCATCGTGCCGAGTCCGGCGGTCCAATCATCGGCGTCTGGGGGTGGTGCCCCTTCCCCCCGGTGCCGAGTCGCCGAGGGGAGGCCAAGTTGCGGGTCCGCCTCGGCGGGCGGGGGTCCGGCGTTAGTGTAAAATGACCCGGTATGATGCGGGTGTGCGGCGTGGGAGAGGGGATGAGAGCCTGTCGACCTATCACTGGCTTTTGATGTGAGGTAGTTGACGAGGAGGAGCTTGGCGATGTGTGTCTTGTGATGAGGCTTTTTTGACGGATTAGGTATTACGAGATTTTTTCGTTTAGGGATAGAGGATGAGGTTGCAGCTGTACGTGGTAAGGAGTTGCGTCGTTTGTGACGGATTGATTTCCTTGTTCAAAGGGGGTTCAATCAAGTATTATACAGCTGGATGATGTCGATAACCATCTTGAAGTCGTACAAAACAGAAATACATACAGCATATCGTCTACATAGCTATTCAAAATCAACGACTTGTTAAACCTGTCCGGGTATTTATTCAATATGCAGAGCCCAACGCCAGAAATCAGCGCGCCAATGCCTCGCCAACCGCCACAACCCCTCTCCCGCGTCCTCGCCGCAGACGAAATCGTCCCCATGGTCCAACGCGTCCTCGCAACCCAACGCGCCGCCCGCGAGAACGCAGCCGCGACCATCACGCCCTCCGAAGCGACCTTCGCCAACACCATTGGCCCCTTCCTGCGCGCCGACGACGAGACGCAGGGTGAGGCTGGTTCCTTTAGCGTGCTCCGCTTTTCTGGCCCGGACAAGGCTACCAGCGAGGCCGTGGAGGATGCAATGAGGCTCTGGTCTGCGTCTACGGCGGAGAGGTTGCGGATGAAGGGGGTCTATGAGCTTGTTGACGCCGTCAGGGAGCGGGATGAGAAAGGGCTTGGGGATGAAGAGAGGAGGATCGTGAAGGACTTGTGGTTGGATTATCGCGGGGCTGGGCACGGGGTCTTGGACGGGGAGGGGATCCGGGTGTATTTGGAGCGGAGGGAGAGGATTGAGGAGTTGAAGAGGGCGTTTAGGAAGAACCTGTACAAGGGTGGCGGAGGCCTCTGGTTCACGGAGGCGGAGCTGGAGGGTGTGCCGAGAGCAGAGATGGAGAGATGGAAAGTTGGGCGGGACGACGACGTGCCCGAGGAAAGGGGCAAGAGATTCGTTACGCTGGAGAGGGCGGATTACGATGCTGTGCTGCGGCATGCGCGTGATCCGGAGACGAGGAGGCGGGTTTATGTTGCGTTTGATAACCGGTTTCCCGAGAACGTGCCGTTGTTCAAGGAGATGCTGGTCCTACGAGACGAGAATGCGAGGATGCTGGGGTACGGGAACCACGCGGAGTTCCGGATCGAGAGGAGGGTTGCGCCGTCGACTGGGTGGGTTGAGAGGTTCTTGGAACGGTTGAGTAAGGGGTTGGATCCTCGGGGAAGGGAAGAGATGGCAAGGATTGCGGAGAGAAAGAGAATTGATCTGGGGATTACAGGGGATGCTATTAATGAAGAGAAAGGGGGCGAGGAGGGGAATATTCTGCCATGGGATTTCGAGTACTATACACGGTTTCTTGAGGAAGAGGCAGAAGTTGACCAGGAGATGATTTCCGAGTATTTCCCCCTGAACCATACCCTATCGGCCATGTTGGGTTTGTTCACCGAGTTTCTGGGTCTTGAATTTGAACCTATACCGGATGACAATCTAGTTGGGAAGATCTGGGACAAGGATGTACAGGTTTGGGCCGTCTGGGAGGGGAGAGGGGAGAGAAAGGGGGAATTTGTGGGATACCTGTATACCGACGTTCTCTGGCGAGAAGGGAAATACCGGACGGCGTGCAATGTCAACCTCCAATGCGTACGTTGCCGAGACCTCTTTCCCTTTGGGTTCGCTCCTCAAGAAGGATGACTGACCCCTCAACAGGGTTTCTTGAAGGAGGATGGTAGCAGAGTCTACCCTGCCACGGTGCTCATGTGTGCCTTTCAGCCCCCTACAGCCGCGTCTTGTGCGTTATTGAAGCATCACGAGGTCGTGACCCTGTTTCACGGTACGCCTGAACCAGCCCCCTTCTTCGTCTTCACCTCTTGCACGTTGTTGTCCTCGAACTGGATTCTTGAAACCCCATTTCCTGAGTCCGCTCGATGGGGATGGCTATCGCTCATATCTTCCACGCAGAGCTAGGCCACGGGCTTCACGACCTTGTATCTCGCACGAAGCACACCCGCTTCCACGGAACGCGCGTGGCGCCCGACTTTGGCGAGGCGCCGAGTACGATGCTGGAGAAGTGGTGCTGGATGCCGGATGAGCTCGTCAAGGTGGGCCGTCACTACACGCGTGTCGATCCGGCGTACATGGCGAAGTGGGAAAAAGACCATCCGGACGGCGAAGAGCCCCCGCCGGAAACGATACCAAAGGAGTTGGCGGAAAAGTTGGTCCAGAGTCAAATGTTGAACCGGGGACTATGGTTCCTCAGGCAGCTGTGAGTATTTTGTCTTTATCCCCTTCCTTTTGCGACCCTGTGTTATTGGTTTGGTGATGGAATACTGACGCTGAACAGGGTATTTGCCTCGTTTGATATGATGGTGAACAACCAAGAGTCAACCGAGGCGTTGAGGGAGCTGGATGAAGTGAAGCTCTACAACGACCTTCAGGACTCCATGACACTCAAGCCGAATCCGGATGAGAGAGGTTACGGGCTGGTTCACTCTACGCATCTCATCGAGCTCTACGATGCAGGCTACTACGCCTACATGAGGTATGTTTGCTGGATAGAATCGTTTCTACAGTCTCATCCAAAGCTGGCGAGCTGAGACCCTCTACCAATAATCTGAGCTCGGCCACAGAGTAGTGCTGACTTACCACGACAAAGCGCTCAAGCATTCGCGGCCTCCTTCTTCGAGTCGTGCTTCGCCAAGGACCCTCGCAGTCCTGAAGCGTGGGACCGATACCGGCATGGTATCCTCGAGTACGGCGGTAGCAGGGATGAGATGGAGATGATGACTGAGTTCCTGGGCCGGGAACCCGGGCCGGATGCGTTGCTGGGAAGTCTCGGGTTATTGGAGAGTGATGAGAGTGATGTTGATGGTGTTGAACCAGCGGCAGAATCGATTTGAGACCAGTTGTGGTTCATCTCATGGGAATATGATCCTTTGGGTCACCTCGAGACAAGGTCTTAGTTGTGAGGCAAAGCTATTGGTCGGAAATGAGCGTAGAATCACGGCTCAAGTTGCCCGAGTTGGGTTGAAATTTGAATCAAAAAGCTCAGCTGATCTGCTCGTCCTGCGTCTGATTAGGTATGACCGCTCCAAGACAGTCTCAAGAGACCCTGTTGACTCTTTTCCACGACTTGGGGTATCGCTAGGGACACAAAGCAAGCAAACCAGATATCGAATACACTACGTTACGCATCAGCCCTTTTTCTGGGGTAATAGGAAACTGAGACCGCAACTCAACATGGGGCTTGACAGCGTTACCGTTGTGATTGACCTAGTATAGCAAGACACCGTTTGTGGAATCCCACTTTGGCTTCGCAGGTGTCAGCGGTGTTACTGAGCCATAATCCGACGGTGACTTCACGTTCAGCTGGTGTTGCCGGGTCTCATTCGTTGGCATCCGCTTATGTTGACCGTGCCACATCTACCCAAGATTGCTCAAGCTGGCTTCAGCCGGAAGTAGTGAGATCTCTGGACCTATGCTGCAACTGAGATCCTACGATGCATAAAAGGGGGCCGGCCGTCTACTATAACTCGTTTACGTGTCGCGCTCAAGCCCCAAGTAACCATCAAAAACTCAAGACATACAACAACGTTGTCAACATGAAGTCTATCATAATCGCCATCATAGGCATCATTCCCTTCGTCGTTGCTCAAAGATGCAACGCCGATAATTGCGCCCGCAGAGTGACTGGCACGTTCAGAGCCGCCGGGGTCCCGGACGTCACAAGTCGCGGCTCGGACTGTTCCTCTTACATGCAGACCACCGTCATCCCAGACACGTTGTAAATGCCACAGACCAAGAACCAACACGAGTTCGCGGATACATCTCTGACATGGTCTAATAGCACTTCAACCATCACCACCACGATCTACACCGACAACATCCCCCTTACTCCAACCACTATCTTCTCCCAATCTACAACCCGCGCTCCAGCCACGCAATCTCCAACCTCAGTCCCCTCGTACGCCGCCGTCTCCTGCACCAGCGCCAGCGCCTACTCCTCAGCCTGCAGCTGCTGGGGCTACACCCCTTCCATAACAACCCTCCCTGCGCCAGTCGCCACCGTCACAACAACCCAATACGCCAACCCAGGCTGCCGCGGCGCCCGAGACTGCCCCTTTGACGGCGTGAACCTCTACCAGTGCCCCGGCAGCGGTGGAACGCTGTGCGCCTGTCTTCGCGAGGCCGACAGGAACTTGGACGAACCGGGTCGGAGGCAGGTCTGCGTGGAGAATAAGGGGTGTAACGAGGCCAAGACGTGTACCTCATCGAGCAGCTGCAACGCGGGCGAGGCGTGCGTATGGAATTACTGCTGTGAGCGACAGCGGAGGAGGATTTGTCTCAAGTATGCGCCTTTGGCGTGTGGTAATTCGAACTTGCCTAGGAATATCTTTGAGAAAGGGCGGGAGGCTGTCGAGGGCGGAGGTGTCGGGATGGTGTGAGCTTGATCCATGATGCTCAGGCCGTCATCAAGGTCTTGAAACGGCTGGGCGAGATTCCTCGGGATCGTAGAAGGGGTTTTTGTTCGAGGGACGGCTGAGGGACGATGTGTCGGCGAGTGATATTTAGACGGAAGTGAGTGCTCGAAAGTATGGCTGGATAACCGTAGGGAGCAGGACAATAGCAAAATATCACCCTCCCCCTTCGCTTCCCAGTCCAAAACTCCAAACATGCAAGTTTGATGATGTTCTCACCTCCCCTTCCACCTCACCCGACTAGCATACTGCGCAAACCTCATAACCTCCTCCTGCTCAAGCAACAACTCAACAGTATAATACTGCCTCGCAAGCTCCTCATGCCCCGCAAACCGGTGCACAAAAGAATGGCATAGCCGACACAGCCACGCGACGTTATTGAGCTCCTCCTCGCGGTGCCACCCGCGCTTGACAACTTTATCGTGCACCATGCGCGGAATGAGATGATGGTACGTCAACCCGATCCAGTCCCGTCCACATAACTCACAACCCTCTACAGAATCTCGCGTCGACCGCGGAGGAGGTGGCGGTGCGATGAGGGCAGAGATATACTCTGTCAACACGGGCGCCAGGAACTCGTGGGCGCCTTGTTTCTCCGGGTCGACGATGTGGTAGGCTGCCAGCGAGTCCGCGACGTCCGCGGATAAAGTGGGTAAGAGGTCTGCCACGTCGGCGCCGGTGAGAGGCAGGGAGAAGCGGGATTGCAGAAGGGACGGGTCAGCTGTATGAGTTGCGTGGGATAGGGATTTGAGGTCCGGGGGGAAGGAGTCAAAGGTTTCGGAGGCGAGGTAGGATGTGAAGTCGATCATGTCGTCTGCGTCCACCCGGGTGCTGTCATCGTCGTCGCCAGTACCACTGGTGACGGCCGAGGGGCCATCATCATTCTGAGACTTGGTTTGTCGGCGAGGGTTCGACTTCTTGGAGCGGCGTTTTGGTTTCGGTGCTGGTTTTGTCACGCGTTCTACAACGGCGGCTGAGAGGCAGTCTCGTAATGTTTCAAATTGAAGTGACTCTTCATCAAAATTTCTCATTGTTTCATTTGGGATGTTGAGTTTTCAGTTCTGCGAGGTGAGAAATTTCTCATGACAAATGTTAGTGAGATGAGGTGAACAGACGGGAATCGATGACGTTGAGTCGACGTTGCTTTTCGGAGCTCACCTCACGATCCGTTCGGACGGAGGGCGATTTTAGGGCACTTTAGCGCGAGTCTGTGGGGAGCGGGGGAGCCGGGTATAAGTGCGCCTCCCCTCCCCCGCGTTTGTGGTGACGGAAGCCGACTGAGAGGCGTTCGGACGACATTCCTTCCATCTGACCATCGTATCGTTCAATTCGCGAGCTTTTCGTGCAAGACCGATCTTGTTATAACCGGCAACGAAATCCTGACTTTGAGACTGGTGAGTCTGGGCCATCTGAGCAACATGGCGCAGGACAAGCCCAAGACGATTATCGCCTTTGACCTATACGGCACTCTCCTGTCGACCGAATCCATCGCAAAGCAACTTGCAGAGCTCTACGGCGACGAAGATGAAGCCAAGACCTTGGCGGCGCAGTGGCGGCGGTACCAGCTCGAGTACACATGGCGTATCAACAGCATGGGTTCGTACCGCAGCCCGAGTCTTGCAAGGCAAAAAAAAAAAGAAATGTAGCAGCCAACTTGACTGAGACGGTGAGACACATCTAGGCACATACCGTCCGTTTTCCGACATCACACGCGCAGCGCTGAAGCACGCCATCGCGGAAAGAAAGAAACCGACTCTCTCAAAGCAGGACGAGGACCGTCTGATGGAAGCCTACAACGGTCTCCAGGCCTTCCCAGACATTGAGCCGGCGATGCGCATTGTCGAAGGGGACAAGTCCATCGACGCTTATGTATTTTCAAACGGAACGGATGACATGGTTGGCACATCCATTAGGACCTGCCCCGAAATTACCCAACGCAAGAGTCGTCTCTTTGGCCCCGAGAAGTTGGTGACAGTTGAAGGGGCACGGTGCTTCAAGCCCGCTCCGGCGACGTACCGGCACTTTGCGGAGAAGGTGGGCATGACCAGCAGAGAAGGCGATATTTGGCTGGTGAGTTCAAATCCGTTTGATGCACTTGGAGCGAGAGCGGCCGGGTGGCAGTCTGCGTGGATCGACCGGGCCGGGGCGGGGTGGATTGACGCACTGGGGAGCGTCATTGACACCGAGCCGACGATTGTTGCTGGAGGGGTTGATGAAGCTCTACAGAGAATTGCGGAGCTTGCAAAGTAGGATCGAAGAATACAGCCGCTTAAGATTGTAGATCTGGCAAGGTTTCTACTTGCCGCCTCGGTGTCGCTTTGCCAGCTGGAGAAAAGGATTCACTTCAAGCATCATGCTGAACCCCAAGTATCCACATCACGCTGGCAACGGTCTCTGAGCTTATTTCAAGCCGGAGCACAATGCTACTCCTCACCCCCAAACTTTCAAACACTGAAATAGATCACCATGACGACATTGATGTCATTCAGACTGGGAATTCGTGCTCAATGGGCCCGTCGCATCAAGACCCCTATAGTACGCAAGCCGATTCACAAACGAAACATTCGAACGAGTCTCAACCTCCAGCCTCCGGCTGCAACTGCAATGTGCGTTTCTAGCGCTAATGATGACGACGGATGCGAGAATAATGCCACGTAGACGACAAGCTTAAAAGTTTAGTGCCTGCTCGGCATGTGATGCCGTAGTCGGGTCTTGACCCTTGAAGCCCTGAACGTGGACGAGATGAGCAAGGTTGACAGTCACTTCGGCTAGTTTTGCCGCATCGGGCGGGAAGCGCGCGCTGGTGTAGTTGTACTCAGTGTCTTCCACGACGAAGCTGTACTGGATGTTTAGCAATCGTTGTTGCATCTGCAGAAGGTGGGAGGGGGGAGGGGGGAGGGACACGAACGGTCGGTTGGGCATCCAGCTGCTCTTGAACTGACTGGGATCTTTCACCGCTTTGCGCATCTGACGAAATAAGCACTTGAACAAGCCGTGCCCGTTGATTTGAGCCGTATGCTTACCGAATCCTCGACATTCTCCGTGCCCGCACCGTACGTCTTGTAATAGTCGCCCAGAAATAGCCTGGTTCCATGATACGCCAGCGACTCGAAGCATCCGGGGAGGGCCGTCGTCGTGCAGTGATACAGAACACTGTTGCCGTCCTGACCTTTGGTGTTGCAAAGCACCAGCGGACCGTGGCAGATAGCCGAGACAATCTTTTTGCCCGGCTTCTTGGTCTGGGGGAAGTAATCGGCAAGCAGCTTCTGGGCGGCGGTCGAGTCCATGAGCTGCCTGACTTCCTTGTCGTGACCGCCAGGAATGTGCACAATGTCGAAGTCATCGAGCGTGAAGCCCAGTGAAGTCCAGGACAGGGGCTTCTGCATTTCGGCAGATTTGACCATCGTATCGTAGAGATTTATCGTGGAGGCCGCGGCGCCCTGTTGGACGGGTAGCAGGTCAACTCTATTCCATCACCATATTGCTATGCCTCGGCGGGTGGGGGGAAGGCGGGATGTTGGTCAAAGGGGGGGGTTTGCAAGCGCCCGTGGTGCAATTGTGTTGACATTGAAGAATAATGACGTTTGCAACATGTTGAGAAAGAGAGTCATCGTACAAGAAGCTTCTGGGAGAGACCCTCGAGCATGCGGACATCGCAGCGGGGCGTTGAGCCCGTTTCGGTTGCAAAGTTTACATCGAATCCTGCATCTTTGAAGGTCTGGTAGGGGACAGCAACCTCTGCGAAGCAAGAAAAGAGAGATTAGCTTTACGGTTCGTAACGCGGATCCCGTTGAGTAAGGGTTTTGCCATGTTTGGACGATTGGAGCTGGTGCGGGGCCAGAGGATTAGGGGGACGGAGATGGAGTCTGACAAGGACCGGGACGATGTCGGGGACTTGGCGTTAGGGGGATGGGCGAGATAGGATGGGTGGGCGAGCGGAAGGATGATGATGAAGATCACCTGCCTGTGGGATCATGGCCGTAGTCGGCCATGATGATGAGAACTTTGACCATATTGGGAATTCTTGAGGATGTATTACCGGCGGCGATAGATGGAAGCCGAGCGAGGCGGAGAGCAACGGTGATGATGATACGAGTTGGGCGAGACGACACGACACGGTTGGCGTTGAAGGATCTGAATCGTCTGAAGTTGGCTGACAGGGAGAGACGTGGGAGTGATCAACGCGGGGTTGGCAGATCACCGTGGCCGACGAATTGTGCCGTATGTTACACACACACACACACAGATAGGTTCCCTTCTCACTGGTGCCGCCTCGCCGGAACAAGCGAGACAGGTTGACATCAGCGTTGAACTCTGAACGTTTGAACAGCAAGTCAGTCGTCAGCACCTTCTTCTGCACATTTGCTGCCCAGGAGCTTGGCTTGCATTCCGAGTCGGCATATCTCGCATGCCTGTGCTGACTCGTTAGGGTTGTTGTTGGTCGCTGTAAACAATATTAATCTCGTAGACATGTGTATCTGATTCGATGTTGCGTCTCAGGCGAGATGAAGAAATGAAGAAACGGCTCGAAATTGACGGACGGACTGAAAGGACTGTGCTTCATGTGCTCGATCAAATTGATGCGTCCGTGAACAAGTTCCCGGTTCCAACGTTGGACATTGGATGAGCGGACCCTGAAGCGACCCGACATGAGGCAGGCAGGGCCCAAAGCCCAGGGGCAGGCAAGAGCAGAGGCAAGGGCAGGCAAGCAAGGAAAGCACCAAAAATGTCCGTGTGCCCGGTTCCTGCCCCTAGATTCACGGGTACGTACCCGAATTGGTAACGGAAGTGCAGCGCTAACGCAACGGGGACCCGTCAAAAGCGGAACCCCGTCTCGACGTCATCTCTGCCAGACTTTTCCCGTCTCTCCCCCTTACTGCGTACGTCTGCGCCTTGCTTTCCGTTTACCTGATACCTGACCACCTTACGGATACCTCGACGCTCCAATTTCTGTTCATCTTTCCATCTTCCCGTCAGCCCGAGTCCGCCTTGTCTACTTTGTCTGTTACTCGTACGGCTTGGATGTGCCGTTGCACGGATACCTCATTCTCATATCATCCTTGCTTACCTTACCTTACCTTACCTTACCTTACCTTACCTTACCTTACGGATACACTGCACATGCAGTTACATCTGCACACATTCATTCTGTCCGTACCTCGCAGTAGACCAGTCACAATGCGGTTACCAAGATGCAGACTACCCCAGTGCCAAGCGGCTGATGCAAACCTTGACAACAGGCTTGCATCCTGACATTTCTGCACGACTAATGGACACCATTCCATACACACACACACACACACACACACACGTACACAAGTATCCGTAGCTAGATACAGGGCGGACAGCTCACCTAGCTACAGCTCCAACGCCATTCAAGCTTTCACCAGTCTCCATAACGCATGACATCGTGGTCCTCTTGGCCCCGTCAGTACCGGCATCAAGTCCACTCCAACCCGCACATCCTGCCCTTCCCATCCAGTGGGCCCCGCCGGTTTACGCAACCACGCCAACTTAGTCTCCCCGGACTCGCTCCCCGGATAGGAAGAAGCAGGCGCAAGCGCGCTCTCAAGTCTCTCTCGTCTAATTACACAATACCCTACCGGTACATAGCACTTCGTCCCCTTGTACCAAACCCTTGCTGCTAGACTCCCGGCAGCTCGGAAACTCATAGCTCGCCTAGATAAGGCCACTATGACCCGCCGTTGTGGACAGTGACGGCAGTCTGGGCCCTTTCTTTTCTTGATATATGCCCCCTTCCTGCTACGCCAAGTCTTCATGCCCGATCTCGTTCCCGTCACTCTTTATCGACACACTTCACCCATCCATCCATCCAACCATCCATCCCATCTCCTATTCACGCTCACACTCACGCACACGCACACGCATACGACGATGAATCTCTCACTCGACAAGACGATGCCTGCCAGCAATCTTCTCTCGGAGCAGGTCCAGCTAGGAGGCACCTACGTTGACACAGTTGTCGAGATATCCGAAGAGCTGTTTCACATGAAGGAGCTTCTGCCATTAGTCAAGCTCTTGACCATCATCTACAAGATGCGTTCACCAAACGCCGATGAGGAACATCACATGAACACCCTGTTGCGGACATTGTCGGGCGATAACCTCAACAAAATCACTACGGACCGGCATCCCGAAGGATTCACCAGAGATGAGATCGTCAAGTCATTCAGCAGATTTCTGAGCCCAGTTCTCAATGGCCTGACTGGCCTCGGCGATTTTGAGCAGGCTGTGGGCGCTGGCGAAGATCCTGACTCATTCCGCCAATTCTGGGCACTCGACGACAGAAATCTACTCTCCGACGCCGCGTCAGGCAGAGGCCCCCTCGCCGCAAGCACAGAGCCCATCATCCCTTTTCTCGAGACATTTGTCAAGGACCGCAGTCGGCGCATAGCCTTGACCCAGGATCACGGCGCCCTAGTGCTGGTCCCCTACCAAACGAGGCCAGGCGACGAGATCTGGATGATGTCCCGCGCGTCGTCATTGGTTGTCGTGCGCAGACTTGATCACCCAGAAGACTCAACGACGGACCTAGGCGTTCTCGGCGATGCTTACAGTCATGGGTTCGTCAAGGGAAAGCCGCCGCGGGGCTGTAAGCGTCAGGCCTACGACGACTTGGAATTCTTGACATCGTCCGTTGCTGTAGGCCTCGCCGGCGGTGTGCCGAGGTAGAGACAGTCGTTTGTCGAGCTATCATATTTGACAGCGATCTGCCGGCGCCACTTGGCCATGCTGAGCACGAGACTGCAGAAGCAACACAGCCTTCGATTGTACAATCTCTCAACGTCAGCCACTTGGTCCGAAATATACTCACGCCTCGTTCTGCGCCATGGGCCGATGGGAATCCTCCCGCATACCCCTGTTGCCGAGGTTTATCGGATCGCAACATGTATACGTTATATGTACACCAACAAGCCCGAGGAGGAAAAGCTACTCGATGCATCATTCAGCGTCAGGATCAGTCTCTCGCAGATTCGAAGGCAGCATTCTGCAGCATTTTTTTCATTAGTTGCCTGGAAGGAAGAAAACTTTGGCACATCTATTGCCCAGGGCATCTCCTTGGCATTGGGATCTGGAGACGGGAGTTTGGGAAATTGGAAATAACGGGATCAGGAAAGGAAAGCAAAAGGCAACACAGAACAATACTGGCGTACCATGGGGATTCTCTTCAAAAAAGAAATTGGGATTTGCATTCTGTCACTCATCACTTTAGAGGCATTATTAGATACCCCAACTTGAATCTTTTATTACGTTTCAATTTGGCGAAACGGTGAATTTGATGCAATCTCGTCTATCGCGAACCTACTCAGGTATTGGGACCATTGTGGAAGATGGCTTAATTTCCCAGGATGATTTGCTGACAAGTGACAACCTCTCTAGGCCTCCAATCCTCAAATGGGGCCCCTGAATCCTCCTGAGCTATCCGTATCCTACGGAATGGCCCATAGGGCTCTAGCGAACCTTAAAGCGACCTAGCTTGCAACGAATCAGGTGAGAAAAGTAGACATAGGTTTCCGTACGGAGAGTCGGATACGGAGTCAATGCTTACGCGGGAGCCTAAATCGGAGCGAACCTCATTCGCTGACGGCGCCGTTTTCTTTTCACTGCATCTCAAAATACCTCTGCTTAAATACTCGGGAGAACTTTCTTTCAACAAAAAGTTTAAACGTCCATTCAGCCGCGCACCGTCGCACGCGAAAACCGTTGGTGAAATTGCACTTGTGCCACGCGACGACGGTGGGAGGCGTTTTTAGATTGCTTGGGCATCTCTGCAATCCCTCGCAGCTGGCGCCAAGTGGAACCCGGCGTGGCTGACACTCCCGAGACAATCATCGGCTGGTGACATATCTTGCATATTCAACATCGAGTTCTAGTCGCACAACATGGACGGGATCTTGGCTTACATACTGAGGACTCTCACGGCGGCCATCCTGGTCGCCGCCGTGGGATCGGTGTTATACTTCATTAAGCTTCTGAGGAGGCACCGAGGTAAGATGGCCGAGCTGAGGAAGCAGGGACTGGTGAGTTCTCCCTCCCCCCTCCTTCTCATCATGCTTCATCGCGTCACGAGAGGCTATCATGAAATCCACATGAGGTTAACCACGAAATACAGCCAATCGTTCCCCACAGCTTCCTCTTCGGTAATCTCCTCGAGGCCAAGAAAGCATTCGACACCCTCCCGCCGGGCGTCCATGCAAACTACGTCCTCGCCCGCCTAGGCGAGCTCCACGGCCAAAATGGCGCCTACTACATCGACACCTGGCCCATGGCCGACCCGATGCTCGTCGTCCTGGACCCGGACATGGCCCACCAGACGGTCTACCACCCGGTCGCCGGCTCCCAGAAGCCCCCCATGCTCGTCGGCTGGTTCCACCCCATCACCGGCGGACCGAGCCAGTTCGACACAAACGGCCGGCCGTGGAAGAACCTCCACGCCCTCTTCAACCCCAGCTTCAGCAACCAGAACATCACCGCCGCTGTGCCCATCATCCTCGGCAACATCGCCACCTTCACCGACCGGCTACGCGCCAGGGTCTCCTCCGGGAGCAGCGGTGGTGGTGGTGGTGGTGAGGGAGACATGTTCAGGCTAGAACCCCTAATGCTAGACCTCATCACCGACGTCATCGGCGAAGTCCTCCTCAACGTCCGCCTCGAAACCCAGAAACAGCAGCACCCCCTCGCCGAGGCAATGAAGGGCCAGCTCCGCCTCAAATTCACCTCCCACAAGCCCGAGAACCTCCTGGCCCCCATCGACCCCTTCCTCCTCTTCCGCACCTGGAACGGGGGGC